TAGAATGACTAGGAACCTTCTTTCAAGTTCTGATGCTCACACGGCTGCAACGGACGTACCCGGGTTCTGCCCGAATCCGAGGATATGGCGCATGATGCTAGTTTTCCAGTTCCGACCCACCAGTGCTCTCCAGAATCATGGCGAATTGAGATTTATGGGCACGAGGCCTTCTGCGCGGCTAGAACATGCCACTCAATGAGTCAAGCCACATCGCAAAAAAAAACACGTCTGTAATTTGAGAAAGTGAGCCTAATCTGGAATACACAAATGAGGGCATGATTCCTCCGGAATTCGTATGTATCTAACTCCGTAGATCGCGACGAGTTGCTGCCCATTGAGACTCCTCACAATAGTGTTGGTACAAGCATTAAAACTTGCGGAGACAGATCCCATAGCAACAGCCTCCTATTAGACTGGTGACCGTCTCTCCGATCACCCTTGACGTTGCAAGCAAGAATGTGAGAGAGACTGGTAAATCTGAGTTTGAAATCCCAGTGGTGCGCGGGTGGCTGTGGCAACATCATGTGAATCTCACGTGAGGGCTTCAGACCGATGGTAACCGATTACCGATTATTTTCAGTTGCTTCTTACTTCGATGTATATACTGGCGACGGTAGCGCCTCGTTGTCGTTTAATGCAACCATGTCTGTCTCTGATGATTTGTTTCCTTCTTTGCTGCCTGAACCGGTTATTTTCTTCTGTAAAATCCTTCCGCTTTGACCTTAGTCTCCACAAACTCCCCTCTGCCGCGATCCCAACTCTACTGTACATCTTCCAGCACGTCTTCAGCGAGTCTGAGGCTGTTATATACGCAAAACACTTGCTTCTCCCCCTTCGGCTTCCTGAAGAGTCCTTTTTCGAGACACTGTCACCCGTTGAACAGGCCCTCGCTTGGTGAAGTTGTCTATTGGTTTATATTGCTTCCCATGGCACTATTTTCCCACGTGATGATCAAATACGCGCTGCTCTGTGGTCTGCACAAGGTCGGGATAGCGTCGTAATTGCACCTACTGGGTGGGGGAAGACACTGTGTCTTGATACCACTTCTGTTATTTCCAACAATGACTTCAATCACCGTATCACCACTGAAGCGCCTCCAAATCATGCAGGTATGTCATCTATACTCTTTCTTTCAGTTTACTTCATAGCATGAAAGGCACGGTCCTAAGTTGAATGTTTCCATATCTGAACACTTTCAGTCAATGAAGATACCAATCACTCTGATGAACTCTGGAAGGTACGCGTGTGTTTTTCGTTGCTGAAGATTCGCTAATAGTTTGGTAGGATGTATTTAGCGGAAGAATTAAGCACCTCATCGTTCAGCCAGAGCAACTTCAGCTCTGCAATGGACATAAAACCAGACTCTCGATGTACTTGGACATGCCCAAGTTCACTTCAGCGTGTGAAGCGCGTTCACGTTGATGAGTCCCATTTCGTAGCTACCGCTGGTCTACCAAAGCGCGGGAATGCACCGTTTTGAGTTGTCTGGGGTCTGCTTGATGAATTTCGCCTTCGTTTGCCTAGCGAATGTGTGCTTTCAAGCTCTTTCTGCAACCCTACCCAATCGACTACTTCAACAAGTCCATGCCAAACTTTTGCTCTCCACTCACACTGTTATCATGCGCAAGTCCATCAACAGAGCGAATATTGTCTCAGTGATACAGGAGGGAAACGTGTAAACGACGCTATTTACGGCGGACCTCGGTCCGAAGCCCTCACGTGATATTCACATGATGTTGCCACAGCCACCCGCGCACCACTGGGATTTCAAACTCAGATTTACCAGTCTCTCTGATCACACTTTCTTGCTTGCAACGTCAAGTGTCCAGAGAGACGGGTTACGAGTCTAGCCTCCTATGAGATCGGAACGGATGCATGTCGATCATTGTGGTTGCGAATTTTCCAGAATCTAATTAAATGTAGGCGTGAGAGTGATCGGCAACACCCGTCGAAAGCAGTGCCGTGCAAATATTTGCGGGTTGAACTCCACTGGAGCCACCTGCAAACGTCAACTCTTATCTTCTCTCCCTTCCCCATACCCCGATTGGTGTATTTACACGCCATTATGTCTTCCCTCTCTGTTGATGCACCTCCTGCCTACTCAGAATGCCGCACTCACCATGCCTCGACCTCAGCCGGCGCGTCGCTCCATGCTGATGGAGTCAGCTGTGATGGATGCCACCAGCCAATCAAGGTGGGCATTCGGTACAAATGCCAGAAGTACGTATGTCTCGTTCAACTACACCAAAATCTAAACCGTGTTCAGCTGCCCGAACTATGATCTCTGTCCGGACTGCTGTGACGTGCCTCCGCGGGACCACCCTAGTTGGCGTTCGTTCCTGAGGATTGGGTCCAACTCGCAGGTACCAATACATGAGGGCTACTACTGTGATGGGTGCAGCCAGAAGCCGATTCGTGGCAAGCGATACGTCTGCAAGTCGTGAGTAGCTTAAATATGTGTTGCCAAACGCGCGCCTGACTTTGTCTGCAGCTGCAAGAACTTTGACTTTTGTGAAGGCTGCAGGATAAGCCAGCCTTCCCACCACCCCGTGTGGCACAGGTTCATTTGCATTGCTTCGCCTGCACTGAACACCTACCACCACCGTTCGTCCATTAAGCTACGTTACTCCCCCCTAATCCCAACTTACAGCTATCTCCAGAACAATTCTGCGACGGATGTGGCATGTCACCTATTCGAGGACCCAGGTATCGATGTCAAGAGTGCGTTCATTCATTTCCTTTTCATCTTCATTTGTCTGATGTACCCAGCATTCGGTGTCATCCTGATGGTGCTGGTTTTGATTTGTGCTCAGACTGTATGGAAGACGGTACGAAGCATCCAGGAGACCACCTCATGCTTCGTATCACTGGTCACCCTGAGATACCAACTGTCCCCATCGTCCCCGTTTCTTCTACTGCTCCCGCCCAATCCGCTTCTGCTGGCCTAACCCACTCTACTGTTGCCGGCCCATCTCGTCCTCCTGCTGCCGTTCCGGCCCGCCCTACTGCTTCTCCTGGTCGCTCTAGGGTGCTAGTTCATCACACAGCACCAGCTGCTGCTCGATCGACGGCCTCGGGTCGCCCTACTACAGCCCCAGTCCGCACTTCCAATGTATCTGTGTAAAGTACTACTGCCCCCAGCCGCAGGTCCAGATTGTTATCTGTTTTATCTAGTTAGGACCTCATCGTGATCATGATTTTTGCTTCATGTTTTCTTCTATACCTCCAGTCGCTCATTTTTTCGTCGTTGTGATTATACATAGATCGTATTAATTTTCCTGCGATAAGTTCAGGTATGGTTTGCTTTACAGAACTTCTACTAATGAATAATTTCGATGACGATTTGTATGTACTTGCCAGTGGACGCAGTGTATTCGGTTAGGTAATTTCGGATATGAGAATTTACGTCGACGGGCGCAATAAGGGTTAGTTGGATACCCTACTCCATCACCGGTGATGACCTGGTCGCTCGTGTTCTGTTATTATATACAATAGACGTGCTGTAAATAGCCAACAAATAGTCAAACAGAAAATTCGAAGGACAAAGTCAAATGCACGTAACGCAGAGTAAATTCTAGTCTCTTCAGCTCATGTACATTAAAATTTGATTAATAACCAGACCGGCAATCGGAACGAAGAAACGTAATGCAGTCGGGTGCGAAAGAACTCGAATCGACAGGAGCTGAATGCGTTCAATACCAAAAGAGGCAGGAGCGATGCAGTGGCTCCTGCACAATAAAGACAAATATCTGTGGACCCGTCGCCCGTCAACAAACTTTCTGTGCATCCAGCTTCAAGACACCGACATCCTTCCAGTACGTCTCCATATCTGTTGTCCATGCTTTCTGGATGCATGACAGACTATCCCTGCAAGAACGGGCGCTAGATTCGCAGTGGAAAGGCTGGATTGCATCCAAGAACTCTGGATGTACCTTCGTTGGCACTAACGTTCGTCTCACAGAGAATGGGCCTCCAAGAGTATCAAGTCGTCGGTCGCCACCTCCCAACGGAGGCTGAGCCTACCCCCAAAATTTATCGTATGCGCATCTTCGCTCCCAATGAGGTTGTCGCCAAGTCGCGCTTCTGGTACTTCCTCAGGTGAGCTGGTTTTCCCGCATTCACAGACTCAGATGAAGTAACCCCTCCCCTCTAGACAATTGAAGAAGGTCAAAAAAGCCAATGGTGAAATCATTGGCGTCAACGTTGTGTGTAGTCATCCCTTGCAGCCCTCAAGAGGCAGGCGGAATGGGATTGCTGATGGTCTTTTGTGGCCTTTTTTTCCTTTCTAGATCCATGAAAAGAAGCCTTTGAAGGTCAAGAACTTCGGCATCTGGCTCCGATACGATTCGCGCTCTGGTACCCACAACATGTACAAGGAGTACCGTGACCTCAGCCGTGCTGATGCTGTCAAGAGCATGTACCAGGACATGGCCGCTAGGCATCGTGCTCGTTTCCGCTCGATCCACGTATGTCAACTGCTTATTGCAAGTCGTTTCCTGGTTTCTGATGTAGGATGTAGATCCTCCGTGTCGTCGAGATTGAGAAGACTGAGGACGTCCGCCGCCCTTACATCAGGCAATTGTTGACGCCTGGGCTGAAATTCCCTCTTCCTCACCGTGTCTCCAAGGTTCGCTCGACCTTCGTTGCTTCCCGTCCTTCCACTTTCTAAGTGGTGGTGCTCTCGTGAGGCAATGGGTGAGGTGGTGCCCTTCGGCCATTATGTGATACTCATGATGTATGTCAATGAATTGTCTATGTTATGGTCCATTATGTATTGGACAGTAAGATGTCATGAGAACTATTCCTGGTCTTGCATACTTTTGTTGAGCTCCTCCTGCCATACTTGAGAGAATTCGTCGATGTCCCTTCCGCTGCTCAGGTTGAATGCTTCAAACGGTATCATGTTGTGTTGATGGATGGGTGCATTCGTATTCGCGGCCGGATGTGCGCGTGAGTCGATAACACGCAATACCGGGTGCCCCCCAGATGTATACACATCCCATAATTCTTCGTAAGAGAAAAGAAGGGGGTCTGTACGTACTGCATAGGGGCTGAAGTCAATTATATGTCCGCGCGAAAGGTCTCGGGTGAGAAGGAAATCGAAGACGTCTGGAATGTAACTTTAGTCTTTATAAGCAAGAGCTGCAGCAAGACGTACAGTCCTCACAAAGATCCCATTTCGGCTGGACTTCTGTCTCCCAGAATTCCTTGATGACCTTTGTGATCTCTTCCTGGGTCGTTGAGTCATTCCAGAACTCGTAATAGTTTAAGTCACGCTGCGAGATGCCTAGCGACCTGCATTAATCACGTTGGAAGCCGAAAATCAACGCGAAATGAACCTATAAGACTGTTTTTGCGAACAAAACATCTGCATTCCCGACTTCGGTCGATGGAATACCATTTTCTGAGGACAAGTTCTAGGCCGTAAGACTCTGGATGTCTCTCGCAGCCCTCAAAGACGTGATCTTTGCTTAGATCATGGTTCGTAAAGTCTGAGGATTTAAGCAGAAGATAAATATCTGATGGTGACGTGCATTTCAAGGGCGACCCTGCTGGAAGTATCCAAGATGCGTCCTGACGAGATTAATGGTAGTTGAGTATATAATAATGATAAATGCACCTTGGGAGACGAAAAGTTCAGCTTTGGGAATACAGCGCCGTATTCTGCGATGCATTGTCTGATCTCTGCGTCCAAGTCGGGAAATGAGTACCGTTTTTCTGGTTCTCCGGCCTCGTCGTCCGATTCATCTTCTACGATAGTGGTACTTTCACTATGAAAATAAAGTTTAAAACGAGACGCATGGCTTAGAATACATATCCACGGACAGATTTTCTGACCCCTCTGGAACTATGACACCGTCCGAGTCAAGATATTCTACAAAGTCTGGAGGGAGTCGCCTTATGATCGTAGATTTGATGGTTTTCGAAGAAAATCGAGGATACCAAGAAGAAAACTGGAATGAGAGGATGTATGCAGCAGACAATGGTGGGAGAGCCGTCATAGGGTTGTTCGGAAGATCGGACCGGGAAGCTCCATTTTTCAAGAGATAATGGGAAACAGGGATCAACAAAGGATACTCCCACAATCATCGCGTACACATGGAAAGCCCATCTCCGAGCAAGTAGGACCCCCCTTGCATTCATCATTCGCACCTTTTTGACACTTTTACCAGAAGAATCATCAAGTATACGTATCTCGACAGGCAAAAGGTGTTTATCCTTCGATTTTCTTTAACTTTCGAATCTCATGGCGGTCCAGAAGAAGCGAGGCGGACAAGGACACTCCGAGTATGATTAACGTTATCGCGCATTGCATTGGATTGACGCAAAATGC